TTTTTTTTTTGTTTTTCTCTGGTACCGGGAACCGAACTCACGACCTTGCGCTTGCCAGGCAGGCGCTTTGCCGCTGAGCTAAGTCCTCAGCCCCTTCTATTTTTTTTTTTTTTTTTTTGGTGACACTGTCTTTGTAATGAAGAATGGAAATAAGAATACTGTGTGAATGCACTATTTTTAAGTATATAAGAAAAGGTCTAGAAAAAGTCTACTTATACTTCAAGACTGAAAACTGACCTACTGTGATTCCATTAAACCACAAGCTCATATAAATTCATCAAGCCCTTTAAAATTCAAGTCAAGACCAATGGAGGAATCAAATATTGAAACCACAGTGATACTACACTTTAGATCATTTTGGTTGTTGCCTCTTAATAATTTTTAATTCCATGTCTTAAAGGTAGATGCACCATTGTTAATGGCTAGGCTTCATTGAAGGTGTGAAATTAATACCTACCAGCACAAAAGGGTAATATTTCTCTTAAGATTTTCCCTGACGTATCTTAAAGACTATTGCTATTGAGGGGAGATCCAAGGAGCAGAGTGAGAAATATTTATAGCATATGAGTATAATAAAAAATGTAATCATGAACTAACAATACATTAAACTGGTAGGACATAGTTTACATTAGATCTTAGGAATGAATATCAAAAATACAGGCAATATTTTTGAAAAAACAACCAGCAGTGAAAAATTTACTTATAATAGAAACCAGACACTCCAAAATAATTTGTGGTTTATTTAATTCTTACCGTTCATCCTATATTCTTTTGTATAAGCTGAAGGAAGGCACCCGAGTAACTACCTCAGATGTTTTTGATTTTGATTCTGAATTTTTAGCGAGATGAAAACTCTAGTCCATATAACAAAAAGAGATGGCATGTCAGTTTGAGAAGGTTTAGATTTTTCCCCTCATTGTAGATACATATTAAAAGAAATGCATTACAATAAATTACTATATTTCCAAATTGTCTTATTATTTCTGGGCAAATAATAATTGCATATAAATTTTGAATAAAGGAATATCATATTGCATCTTACGTGTTCTGGACTATGCACTCCTAGAAAATCATTATAGTAACAAAACCAGCTGCATGTAATAGAAAGCAAATGATTTACAATGTCACTATGAGAAACTACTTTATTTCATATTATCATAAAAAGAACAGAACTGAATATTTGCATGTCAAACAGAAGAATCCAGAAATTCCAAATGCAGCTCAGTTGTTTTTTTTTTTTTTAAATTTAAATAGGTATTAATGTTGGAAGGTGATCCAAAAAGTCTTCTACTCTAGAGAATATTACAAATTATAATTTGCAAAGTCATTACTAGGCCAACAATTGAAAAAAAACTACAAACATTAATAGACTATAGAGAGAATAATACATGTCTCTATCATAAACATGTATAAATGCTTACATCTAGTGATTATGAACTCTTTACTTCATTCAAACTGAGAAGAAAGGATTTTTGTTCCTCAGTAAAGCTTGATCCTGAAATTTGAACAACAGCAAAAGCCTTCAATGTCTGTGTGTTCTATGTTTTATATATTTATTAATAATCGCATCTGTCCACCAACAGTCCAATCCAAGGGAGCTGGTCCCCTTCACATCACTAACTAGAGGGAACTAACTCCTCTGTTAACTCAGAGCTTCAGTTAACTCTCTCCCTCTACCCAGTCACAGCATTGTGAGCCTGAGCTACTGAGATGCAGCATGCCTGGAGAAGAAAAAACTGACTTTAGCCTGGGAGACTATCAGCCGTGGAAGTGAAAGCAGAAAGTCAATACCACAAGGAGCTCCAGCAAAAGAGAGAGAGAATTAAGCAAGGAACAGAACAGGAATAGGCAGGAATTGTAAGGTAGAGATGAGATACAAAGGGTACCAGCTGATGGTGAGCACATAGTGACACAGGGGGAGGCACAAAAAGCGCAGGGTGCATTGATGGTGAACCACCCATACCACCATGAGCTCCAGCTATGGTCTCCAAGATGTGTAGCCAAGGATTGGCTGCTAGGCTTAAATAGTCTTGAAACTTCATGTCTGTAATTTTGCTCCTCCTATATCAATAGTGTCATATCTTAGTATTTGACTGCTTTGAAAATCATTGAATTTGGTACTCAACAAGTTTCACATCAAAATTTTGCCCTGTGCGTGTCGTTTGTTTGGTACTATATGCACAAGCTAGAAGTTGTTGGTATCCATTGTTCTGTGACTCACTACTCTTCCCAGTCAAAACAATTTCCTTGGTACCCATCGTTTTTTAGTACTCCTTGTGCCTTCCAAAACCACTTAACGAGAGTATCAAGTGAGGTGCTATTGTACAATAAAACCATTCTAAACAAATTAACTGCTAGGAGTCTCAAGTTCCTGCAACCAAAGAACTTATAATTATATATGTATGTATAAAGTGAAACCTATTAATTATATATTGCCCATATGTAACATATAATAATGTATTGCAATATGTAACTATATATTTATATATTATATGTATAATATAGTACCGTACAAAAATGGAATGCTTATATATTTGTAATTATATATTGTACTAAACATACAGAAAAATACATAGTAAATATGTTATATATTATGCACTATGTTTTATTTTATTTTTTTGGTACCGGGAATCAAACTCAGGACCTTGTGCTTGCCAGGCAGGTGCTGCGCTGCTGAGCTATACTCACAGCTCCACACTATGTTTTAAAAATTACAAGTTCTTACATATTTCACTACATTAGGGAAAGGTCCCAGGACACAAATAATGCCTGATGTCCAAGGTCCAAGAGTCTTGTAAGAGCTATCAGAGTTTGCTTCAGTGGTCATGCTTTTCAGAGAAGCAATTAATTCAAATTACCTAATCAATTTTATGGCGGGTACACTGGGTGAATATAAAACATTTTATACATAATTGAAAAAGTACACTAAATGAGCACAGTACTCCAGCTTTGGGTTTATGTCTTCTTTACTTAATCACCATTTGTTCTAATGACATTAAAGCGCAATACACCAAATATTATAAGAGTAGACCATCACTCTGAACCTTGAGGTTCTTTTTTTTTGTTTGTTTGTTTGTTTGTTTTTCTCCGGTACCGGGAGCCAAACTCACGACCTTGCACTTGCCAGGCAGGTGCTTTGCCGCTGAGCTAAATCCCCAGCCCCACCTTGAGGTTCTTTTAAGATGTCTTTGCATTATAAATCTGAACATCAGTTTTACAAGCAGATGAAAAATATCAACTGCTACTAACTGGCCAAATGAGAGGAGGATTAAAAATTGATACGTGGGAGAAGAGTGGTGAAAAATCAAACTGGAGTACGTTCAAGGGAAAAAGGGAGAGACAGCAGTACACAGATAAGTCCTCTAGGAAATTTTGCTTCAAAAAAGTAAGAGAAATAGCTAGAGGCAATGTATGATCAAGCAAATTTCTTGTCCTTTTAAATATGAGAAATATTAAAGCACATTTCTATGATGATGAGATTGATCCAGTAGAGGAGAATATACTTAAAGATGCAGGAGGGAGAAAGGATAATAGTGGATGCAAACTTCTTGAGCAGACAGGAAGGGGTGAGATCAATGACTGCGTAGAGCAACGGTCCTCAGATGGAATAAGATGGGATAACAGAAGAGGAGAGGAAAAAGGAGCATGAACCTTCACAAAATATTTTCTATTAATGCATTCCAAATTTACATTAATTTTACCAGTAGTCTCACCAAAATACCAATGTCCACTATCGCCACAATCTGTCACAATGCAGTTCATTCTTAGAATGAAACTGACTAGAAACATCATGTTAGCTCTATATTAACACATTTGTAACCTTTAATCCTAATGAACTGCCAAAGCTGACAGAATAGGGGACCTACTACCATCTCATAACATCATGGAAAGCCCATGGGCCCTGGACACCGCTCTACTTTGCTTATAATGCATTCTCCCTAGGGGTAGGCATAATAGTTCAGGTCATGTACTAAGGTGACTGATAAGAAATGTAACTTTGTTTTCCTATTATTCACCAGAATATCTATTTGGACTTTCCTATTTTGATTCTGTTTTGGTTTCTTTGACAAAATATCTGACACCCAGAATTAAGGAAGGGAAGGTTCATTTAGCTCACAGTTTGTGGAGGTTTCAGTCTATGCTCGGCTGGCTCCGAGGCAGAGTGGCACATGGCAGAGGGTAACAGTTTATGGTGGTGGAAGATAACAAAGCAACAAGAGCCAAAGGGAGGAGCAGCAGAGGGAAGAGCAAACCTTCTTCCCTTCCTTACATTGTATGCAAACTACCCACCCCAGGGTAGGTGCAGCACTCACACCCATAATCCCAACATTGGACCATGGATCAATCATAAACTCTAGAAGCCCACCCCATGCCTGCATGAGGCTTTAGGGGGACATCCAGACTCAAACCATAACAGATTCCTATCAACATTTATCCAGAAAATATCATATCCAGATACACCGAAGTCTTTTAGGATTTAAACTATAAATACTCACTGAAATATAGTTTCAGGTAAGAATTTCCTCCTTCCTCCCTTTACTTTTCCCTGGGACAAAAACTAGGGTTTCAGGGCAAGACTGAAGTTGAGGCCCCAGGAAGAAGTCCAGCAGGTCTCTGGCTGTCAGCATCAGTTCCACCAGCACCTGAGTGTATTAAGTAACAAGAGGTCTCACGGTCAGTCCCTGATCCTTGGTCCATGTCCTCTGAACTTCCCAGTCCTGACTTGGAGGATCTTTTAGTCTATTGACCCCTATCAGTCATTTTCAAATATTTTAACAGGAAGGAGAAAAAATTTTCAAAGTTCTCTGGTGCTTCTTTAATGGCAGGAAGCCTAGAGGTTGCCTTAGACCTTCTCGCCTTTGAGTCATCTACCCCCTTGCCTGCTACTGTCACTGCCCCAAGACAGCATAGTACGCGGGCCTGAGGAGCTCTTGGATACAAGTGATGTCTATTTTTGGATGCCCACATTGACCTGAAGTATCCATTATCAATTTTCCTAGGTCTTATGTTGGAGAAAGGGGGAGGAAAACAGAAAGGTCTTGGAACCATTTTACCTGACCAACCATCCTGATCTTCTATACAAGTGTCCTTATTTTCCTCTGTGCTACTGAAATCTGTCTAGCCCAGCTCTTTCATCAGCTGCATTCTTCTCAGATTCTTTATTTACTGCATAAACTTTGGCGTTTGTTACCTCTTCCAACAATGTCTGCTTTGAAACAGGAAAGCTGAGAATTGATTCTTTTGTACACTCTTCCCTTCCTTGGAATAGCCAGTCTGGCTTTCCCTTTTGCTGCCTGGAACGAGAAAGAAGGTCACAAGGGGAATGGCAATTACTACAAATGGGAAACACATAAATTATTATCAAGATATTATCAGCCTTACAACATATGAGTTGCTAATGAATGTTTTTCTAAGAAGGCATCAGGTTAGCCTTTCCACAATAAATTTAAATTTAGCCTGCCATAATATAGTATATTCTTTTTGTTCTGTGATAGTCAATCAGTTTTGGGCCATCACACGCATTTATCAATGTAGCCACCATGTTCTTATTTATCTTTTGCCAGTGCCTTACCTTATCAAGTTAACTTGCAGTTAATATAATTTAAATGATGGTAAACTAGAATTTTCTTGCTTTTAAATCTATTCAATTTGAATCATTCTAAGTAGTCACTGTTATTACAGGAAAAACTGTGAATACTAAGATGTACATGTTTAACAGATACGAACCTATAACCATGACAAAATTTCATATCTGTAAAATTCTGTACTGTTTACAAAAGGGTTTTGCATGCATTATTGTGCTTTGTTCCCCCACAGAATGTCAACTGAGGTGATGTGTGTGCTTTGGCCTCCTGAATGAAAAAAATCTTCCCACAAGGGACCGTGTATTAGCATTTTGTCCTTTGATGATGAAAACAGAAGCATTAGGTGATGTCCAAGATTACTCATTTTCCATGTATGAGGTTCATTAATACACTTCAAACCCTTTGCTGTTCATGGATGCCAAAACCACAGTATGGGCTGTTGCTCACCTCCGTATGCCAGGAGTTGCAAAAGAGATCAGTTATCTTTTGCTTGTCTCTGTGCTTTCACTAAAACAGCATTAGGCCCTGGCGTCATGTCAAGGATGCTCGGATAATGCTTAAAGCCAATTGAACTACAAGAGTTGTTCAAAGGATATAAAGGATCTACTTTCCAATTGTCTTGCCACATCCTCATGTGAAGGATGCCTAGAGAGAGTCCTGTGTTAGCTTGGATGTGCAAGATCATCCCTGATTATTCCAAATGCTAGAAAGTGATTATAGTACACCTTTGCAATCAGCCTTCTTTATATTATAACCTATACGTGCTCTGAAGGTGACCTCACCTAGAATACGTAAAAGATAAGCACATTCTTCTAAGTCACAAATATTTTTATTATCAGATGTTCAGATTGACTCCGACCTTGTTCAGGCCAGCTGAAAACTACTTTAGGAGAAATGGTTTAAATTCTAACCCTGGAAAAGAAGAGTTTGAACTATCTCTCAAAATGCCATTTACTCACTAGGCTTTATATCAAGCACATAAAATATAACAAATAAAATATATAACAAATATAACAAATAATTTGAAAGTTCTTTACTTTGCTTATTAACATAGACCAAGCAAAAGTAAATGTGGGAAGCACTCGATCTCATGTGATAGAAAAAACATTGCCCTAAATATTTTAGCCTGCAGTTTACTCATTTAATGCTCTTCAAATGAATACATACACCAGAAATGTAATGTATTTCAGAACATTCCAGAAATATAATTAAAATCTCTTATTGGTTTAAAAATACTTGTTTTGGATTTTAATAATACACAATTTTTTTTTTTTTGTCTTTTTGAGACAGGGTCTCGCTATGCAGTTCAGGTTGGCCTTGAGCTCACTTTGTAGCCCAGGCAGGCCTCAAACTGACAACGATCCTCCTGCCTCAGCCTCCTGAGTGCTGGGATTATAGGTGTGCGCTACCATGCCCAGCTTTTTTTTTAAATACACAATTAACAGATGTTTACAACATATAAAATGATAAATATGTGTAACTCTAATAATCATTTCTTCCAGTAATAAACAAAATTCTCTAGACTTTGTAAGTTACCTACAGCAGTGTTCTGAAAGATTTCAGAAAGACTGTACAATGATGAGATAACTGAAATTTGGAGACAAATACCTGAGTGTTTACAAATATCTTCTCACAAGAGAGATAATCTCTTTTTTTTTTTTTTGAGACTGAGTCTCACTGTGTAGCCCAGACTGACCTCGGACTTATAGCAATCCTCCTGCTTCAGCCTCACATGTGGTGGGATAAGAGGCATATGTCACCATGCCGGTATTAATCTCTGCTTTTAGGGAAATACAAGAGGACTGTGAGAATTCTAGATTGAAATCATTCAGGCATAGACAGATTATGGCTTGCCAGGTCTGAAGCTCTTTAGTTTGTGATACCAGTATTAGAACTGATGTATGTATCAGCCACAAACTTTCAATACTCTCATCTTCAACTGTCAGAAAGAGGTACAATTAGAAAACAATCCCGGCACATGTGTAGAGAAGACATAGTTTATATGTCTATGCAATGCTGTTTACGATAGTTGAAAAGTTGGAAACACTTCAACATCCTTTAGAAGGACGAAAGATCGGATGGAACTTACTCATCTCATCCTCTACTGTGTAACGGTTAATCAATTCCTCTTCTATGCACTGCTTTTACTGAGGGTGTAAAATTGTACAATACGACAACATGATAACATAAATAAGAAACTGAAAGATATATATCCCAAACAGGATTATGTACAAATATGAATTCTGTCTCATAAATCATCTTCCACAGCATGACCAAAAAAGATTTTAAAAGATACAAGCATTATGGAACAGAGGTTACATTTATCACCACAAGTGAAAAGTTTAAGGCTTTTCAAAACCACATGTACTTACGTATAATTTCTTCCAAATCTTCAACTGTTGGTGTCAATTTTCTCTTGCTGGGTCCTATTAATAAAAGTTATATTTATTTCTCCTCTGTGATTATTAATTACTTTGAGAGATCTCTAGACATCTTAAAGAATATATCTTTTGTCCTGAATTAGAGAACCCTTCATTAATAAGTTACATAAAAAGGAAAATTTAGTATATTTTCCAAATGCAGTTAGAAAATTGTAATGCAATTTGCGTCTTTGTGTTGTGGATGCACTACTTTGAGCTCTCAAAAGTTAGAAGGGCATGTCAGTGGCTGCTCTTACAGACTCTTGTTTTACAGGGGGCCCAAAGAAGAGAAATTATTTCCCTAACTACATGTGGCTAGTAATAGGTGGACCTGGGATTAAAACCCAGGCTGCTAAGTGGAACTCTCTCTACAAATACCATGTTGCTTCTCACACAGCAGACTGCTGCATACACTGTCCAGTCCCAGAAGACAAATTAATCAACCCACTGATGAAAACAAAACAATTCCCCAAATCCCCCAATAGGAGTTCATTGCTATGATAACTTCAAATCAATTTGCCAGATGCTTTTTGTTTTAGTTTTTTTCTGGTTATATGAAGGTTGATCTATGTATCTTCAGCATACCTCTGTCATATGTATACATGTACGAACTTTATATACATTTCAGTTGTATGTTGGAGGTGCATGTATGTATGTATCTGAAATCTGAAGATTATAATGATACCTTGGGAAAACTTCTCGCTGACCTAATGTTTCTGCATCTCCATCTGGAAAGTAATTAATACCATTACATAATGTATATGGGAGCATTAACACTCTCGACCCAGTAGGCTATTCAAACACTGAGAGTATTGTAATTGTCCTATAATAGATTTGCAAGACATGATTTTAGAGATGCTGACATCCAGAGGGAAGATCTTCCACAATGCTTGGACTTTACTGAAAAGTGTAGCACTTAGTAAATGTTTTCATCTGTGAAATCCTCTATGCCTGGAGAATAATGTTGCTCATTTTAACTTTCTGGTCAAAGCATTCTTACTCACTGCGGCAAAGATTATAATAGTTTAAAGTTAGAATTTTCAGCACTTCCTTGTATAAAACTTTCTCAAGTCCTTGACTTTGGAATGGTACCAAACATTTCCGGACGTATCATTAGTAATAGGATAATAATAAGAAACTGACTCTTCAATTCTGGTATGTGGTCCTTATGCATGCAACCTTTCTTCTCCTATAAAAAAGCATTAAAACTGTACGATGATAAACATTTTGGCAGAAGCCCTCTGATTCAAGGTTTTACGTAATTGCCACTATCTTTCATATGAGCCAGTCATTTACTTGACTCAACCTACATGTTTTATTTTCTTAATATAATCAAAACAGAATGATTTTTCTTTTATAACGTAATTCCAGATTCTATTTAGTGCATCTGACTTATTTGTTTCCCCCCATGAGCGAAAATATGCTATTTTCTTCTTCTGGCTTTAAAATATTAAGTCGTAAGTTCTGATGTTGCCAGTTAGTAAGACTAAACAATTTTTGTTCTATCCAGGTTTTATGACAACTCAAAAGAAATTTAGGTGCGACAGGAAGAGAGGTTAGCAATTCCAGTTGTTCAGCTCTTGTCTTTAGAGTATTTTCTGAATTGTGTTGGAGTCTGTTATTGCGTTGCTGTGAACCACTGCTGCCAAATTCCACCCTAGAGATGGCTATATTTCAGAGATGAGTGAAATGATACTTGTAAACAAGTTTATAATCATTAATAAAGCTTACCAAACAATTTAAGCTCTTTAGAAACACACATTCACTATTCTAATTAATCACTTATTGTTTATTTAATTACAACTCTTAAAAGAGACATGAAGCCTTTAAAAATGCAATTTATAAAACTTTAAACAATTAAATTGGATTTCATGATGCTTATTTTGTTTTTGTAAACTTCGGGTGTTAAATCATTTCTCCCTAGAGACCCTGGCCAAATTCCACCACTGACTGTTCCAATGCACTTTTTAAAAATCCTTAAGAATATTTTTCTTTAAAGTTGACAACTGCCCACTCTGGGATCCAGATGCTATATACGCAGTGAGATAATTTTGTTCTGGTTTCCACACGCGGCCCTATATAAGCTGTCTCCCAGGGATGGAAAGTTCTGCCTCAATTGGAGAAGTTTTAAACTTGGCCTGAAAATAATAAACACAATATCTTACATGTTTGTGGCCATTATAAGTTGAAAAAGTGTATTCATATCCCATCGTACTGTTTAATCAGTCCCGTAAAAGGAGAAAGGGCATTAAGTTACACAATAACTTGGCTAGCATGCGTACTGAATGCTTAGCTTTATGAAGGCTTTGCATGACACACAAGGTAATCCAAAGGACTTAGAATTTCCTTGGGAAGACATGAACAGAAGTACAGGCAATAGAGATATGTGTCTCTTGTAACTGGGAAGTAGAAGGACAAAGGGAGATTTAGAATTTATGTGCCGCACTGAGCTAGGGAAGGTCCACGCGTTATTTCCTAATAGTCCTTCCGATCTATCCTTCCGAAATCGGGCCACAGTTTCCACATGCTGCGAATAGTGTACCAGATTGTGAGTGCCCAAGAAATGATTTTGGACCCCATAGTCATGATGGGGTCTGAGACTCATCGAAGCTATTTTCCACGTGTAAAATTGAGGCTCAGAGAGGGGAAATAACTTGGCCAAGGTCACACAGACGGATGGCGGCAGACGCCAACCCCAGTGCCTCCTTCCTTCACCTCTATTAATCCCTGCGTTGGTTTTGCAATCAAATCTTTCCCTCTCTCTTCCTTAGTCTGGGTGAGCTATGTCACTTTTAGTAAATTGATGGGCTCTTCTCTGTTCGAAAAGGATAGATAAAGGGTTGCAGCAAAACACGTTTTGGTCAGTGAAGAGGGCCAATTTGGTCTACAACCAGTGTTGAAACACGAGCTCTGCCATGTACTGGGTATCCAGGGTAGACAACGGCAGAGTCCATCCTCAAAGACTCAAGTCGGGTCTCTTCCTGGTTTGGGCAGCGTCCAGGGCTTCAACATCTGCTCTTGGGAGTCTTCCCTCACCTCTCCCCAGAACCGTACTGTCTGCCATTGCAGGGCACTGAGACCCCAGAACCCAACACCCGGCCAGGATTGTGCAACACCAAGAACCCAGGCGGCCTGCGTCCAGAGACGCGCGCCCCCGGTCGCCACAGCAACGAGGGAGGCGCTGACCCCTGACCCCGCCCGGCCCCGCCCCTCGCGTTGCCGAGACCAACATGGAGACGGCTAACCCGGAAGTGCCGCGGCCGCCGCCCGCTCGGTGCTAGGAGCCGCGGGCCCGGCCTGGCCGAGCC